GATAAAAATGCCTGTCAAAGACATAAAAAGTAGCCCCTCCATGTTCAACCTTTACTGAGAGGATTCCCCAGGCTCTGGAAATTAATGTGTTTAAGGCTAAGGCCCAAAATATTGACTTCATGATAGTTTGAGCTGAGTTGAATATAGGATTTAAAACCTGCAGCTATGCCTGGAGTTTAGAAAGAATACTGTGGTACCTGGGTCTTGGGTTCCAATGATCTTCTGTCTATGAATGTGCAGGAGAGGACCCAGATCATCAGCAATGATGAACACTGAATAAGATAGAAGCTTTTGGATGAAGTAAGCAAACCAAGAGTGTGGAATGCAGGAAGAAAATAAAGCATAGATGGGATGAAAACAAGAATTAACTTTTTTTCTAGCAAATTGAGCAAGAATAAAAATGAGAAAAAGGTGGCGAAAAGTTTTGCTTTTGGATGCCAAAATGATTGAGTGGAAAGTGGGAGCTCTTAAGTGTGTTGATTTCTGACTGGCTTGAGTCAAAATTGAAACTCTGGGAGTTGATTTGTTAACCATCTGACATGGTTTGGCAGGATTTCAAAAAAAAAAACATCAAGGTTCAGCTAGCCAGTCAAGTCAATCATTTTTCTGCTTGGTGGTAAGAGGGAATAAATCAACTGATCAAAATATGAATCATTATTAATTCAAACCCAGCTGAAATTTAGTCAAACTCAACCTCACCAGCACATTAAAGATGTTTCAACCCAAAGTGGGTTGCCTAGATCTGTGAAATCTGGAAAGTGTATTGAACTAACTCAAATTATATATCAAACAGAATATCTTAACAAGGTTTATCTTACATGTAAAAGTACTGATGAAAATGTTGTCAACTGATCTTGTTTAATTTTAACTGAATTCCAGTAAGCTTTGAGCATGATGGGTTGAAACGTTCCAACAAGGTCCCATGCTATATGTACACCTATTGGAGGGGAGATGTCAATTATGGTGATTTTTGACTAGAGATGGCACTTGACACCTGTTGTTTCTGCCTCACACCAGGGAAGTGTTCTAAGTTTCAAGTGCCCCCCTGCGGGAGGGGGCACTTCACGCCCAGCCAGTCACACCAGCAAGCCTCCCACCAGGGGGACTTGTGTTAAGTTTGCCTGAGCCCCTGTAGCACACAAAGGTGCCATTGTAGTTGGGCCACAACAGGGCTGGAGCTACATTGAAGCAGCAATCAATGGTACATGATGTCACCTGACATCTACTGAGCATGGATTTTTCCTGGAAACCAACTGTCTACAAGAAACATACACTTGATCATGGACATTGTGTGCTTTCTTGAACAAAAAAGGAACCCTTTTCTGGTTATATGGGTTGATTGTTTGGCAGGTTTTGGCAAGATCAGAGTTTTTCTTTTGAAAAGTATTTTTTACCTTTCAATACACACATATAAGGATTAGCCTGCGTGCCTGGTCATTATTTCACCTGACACTGTCAAGGTGAGAACCTGAAGGTACCACACCAGAGCTCTGGGATTGTTTTTGGGTGCAGGTGGGAGAATGTTGGTTGAGAACATTGGCTGGCCCAGATACAAAAAATGGTTATATCAATTTTTTGAGCTCACAATCCAAAATATGTAAAAAACCTATTAATTCCAAATAATTTTGGCATCATATCCAGGTTTCTTCTATCTAAGCCTGTGCAATTCAATTTTACCATCTGAACATTCCAATTTTCAGCCTTTTGACTCTGATGTTTGTGTGGACAAACGTTTTAGAAAAAGGCTGATTTGAGGGAACACAAAAGAAGATTTAAGTGCACCTTTCCCTCTGCAGAAATGGCTATGCAGCCCAAACAACAAGTGAGCTACTGGCTGAGTCCCCAAACACAAGCAAGGCTGATTTAGGCATAGTCCCTCCCTTTTCTTCCAGCCAGTGATTCACACCAGCAATCCACCCACCAGGGAGGACTTTTTTAGGTTACAAAAGAGTAGGTGATATCAATGATATTAGATTTAAGGTCCACCCAAAGCTAACAAACCCAGCCTTGATAGGGTGGGGGGTCCAGCCCTGGGAACCCAGTTGTTTTTCCACCAAAGGCAAAGCCTGACTGGTGTGAAACAGGTGTCGGAGGTACCTGTTGGTATCAGTCAACCACACCTCCCTTCCCCTTGCATTTGTAATAATTATTCTCACATGGCTATTTTGATAGTTCAACAGTTCACATTGGCAACTTGAAAACCAGTTTGCTGATGCTGATGAAGAAATTCTCATAAAATTCTTCAAGATCAAGATTGTGGATGTTCTGATGTTCAGGATGGAGGTGAAATCTTGTGGCTTGAAAATCCAGAGCCTTGGTTGTGGTAGCTCAAAGGTTTATGTAAAGCTCAGTAGAAAACATGTCATAGCACAATGTTCCATCCTATCAGGTCCAAGAGGAAGAAAAATGGAAAACCTAAAGGATGAACACATCTGAATTTGAAGGACAACTCCCCCTCTCAGCCAAAGATCTGAAAAACAAAAATTGCCAGAACCATCAACAGATGGTCATTGCTAGGAATTGGGAGTTGTTTTTCCAACGCCCTATTGAATCATAAGTTTTCTTTTTTGACACATAATTTGAATGTAACACTCTAAATTGATGAAGCTCATAAGCACCTGACAATATGGTGGGGGACCATCTAAATGGGACACATGATGATGGAGCATAAACCATGGGTACTGGCTGCTCTAGACAACTATTGCATTTTGGAGAATAAAATATCTACTATTGATTGGCTCTGATGAAGCTGGATCAAAGATTTTTCTCTTTCAAAAATTCAAAAATTTATGTAGTATCCCAGCAATCAAGAGTTAACCTTATATTCATTGATTCACATCAAAATATGGCAGTAAATATTGCATAAATAGAACTAAAATGTATTGTGATAGAAGCAGCTTGATGGATTCATCTGATCAAATTGGCTGTAAGGGAAGTCAAATGAGAATGTGTAAGAGGAAAGAAAGTCAATTAGTCAAGCAAACAGGAAAAAATCCATAAGAAAATGAATCATATGCTACTCTCACCATTGAAAATTGATCAGCTTGTACCTTCAGAAGGGGTTTCTGCAGCCTTTTGAATTTCAAGTGCCTTTGCCACAATTGTATTGTAAAGCTCTTGTTCAAGATTCACTATAGGATCAATAGTTGCTATTATATTTGGGGCTGACCAATAGAAAGGAATATGCCCCATCCTTTTAGGATACAAAAAGCTGGGTTCCAAGTATGCACTTTTCATCCGAATGTTATGATCAGTAAGATTCATCAGCTCCAACTCATTATGATCTTTTCCCCTGATCGTCCTTTTTAGCTGCATTATTGAAGATAAATTGGCCTTATCAGATTTATAAAAATGCCTGTCAAAGACATAAAAAGTTTTCCCTTCATGTTCAACCTTTACTGAGAGGATTCCCCAGGCTCTGGAAATTAATGTGCTTAATGCTAAGGCCCAAAAGTGGAGTTTAGAAACAATATTGTGGTACCTGGGTCTTGGTTTCCAATGATCTTCTGTCTATAAATGTGCAGGAGAAGACCCAGATCATCAGCAATGATGACCATTGAATAAGATAGAAGCTTTTGGCTGAAGCAAACAAACCAAGAGTGTGGAATGTAGGAAGAAAATACAGCATAGATGGGATGAAAACAAGAATTACCTAGTCTTTCTAAAGAAAAAGGTGGCAAAAAGTTTTGCTTTTGGATGCCAAAATTATTGAGTGGAAAGTGGGAGCTCTTAAGTATGTTGATTTCTGACTGTCTTGAGTCAAAATTAAAATAGGATTTGATTTGTTAACCATCTGACATGGTTTTACAGGATTTCCAACATAAAAAATCATCAAGGTTCAGCTAGCCAGTCAAGTCAATCATTTTTCTGCTTGGCAGTAAGAGGGACTAAATCAACTGATCAAAATATGAATCATGATTAATTCAAACCCAGCTGAAATTTATTCAAACTCAACCTCACCAGCACATTAATGTTGTTTCAACCCAAAGTGGGTTGCCTAGATCTGTGACATCTGGAAAGTGTATTGAACTAACTCAAATTATATATCAAACAGAATATCTTATCAAGGTTCATCTTACATGTAAAAGTACTGGTGACAATGTTATCAACTGATTGTGTTCAATTTTAACTGAATTCAAGTAAGCTTTGACTGAGCATGATGGGTTGAAATGTTCCAACAAGGTCCCATGCTATATGTACACCTATTGGAGGGGAGATGTCAATCATGGTGATTTTTGACTAGAGACGGCACTTGACACCTGTTGTTTCTGGCACTTGACACCTGTTGTTTCTGGCACTTGACACCTGTTGTTTCTATTGAAGCAGCAATCAATGGTACATGATGTCCCCTGACATCTAGTGAGCATGGATTTTTCCTGGAAACCAACTGTCTACAAGAAACATTTTTTTTTTCTTTTGTACATGGCTTAAGCTTTTATGCCCAACATTTCATTGGTCAGGTGATCTCTTGGATCTAAAATCAATATCTTCACTTCAAGTTGTTAACATGCACTGTATGTGCAGGGGAGTGATAATCACACTCCACCCCCCTTCGCACACACACTCCAACACTCCCTTCTCTGAAGGGAGTGTGGGACCGCACTCCAATTGAAATTGGAGTGCGGGTCCGCACTCCAATTGAAATTGGAGTGCGGGTCCGCACTCCAATTGAAATTGGAGTGCGGGTCCGCACTCCAACCCTCTGCGCGGGCATTCCCCCAGCAGGTTGGCGTGCGGACCTGCACGCCAATTGTGATTGGAGTGCGGTCCCACACTCCCCTTCTGAGGGGAGTATGGGAGTGTGCATGTGTATACTTTATACATATGTACATATTCCCTGGGCTATCCCATAGGACCCAGGCCTGGGTCTTATGGGATAGCCCAGGGCTTGAGCCATTGAGGCCGTTGAAAAAGAAAAGAAAAGGACCTGGGGCTCCCAGCCCCAAAAGATTGTACAGTCTTGGGGCCGGGAGGGGTTCCTCCCGGCCTTGAGATTGTACATGGCTCAAGGCCGAGAGGAATCCCTCTCGGCCTTGGAAATTTGTACAGTCTCAAGCGTCGGAGGAATTCCTCCAACCTTGAGGCAAAGCTCACACCGCCGGGAGGAAGCCCTCCCGGCGAGCCTCTCGTCGGGAGGGATTACCAGCTTCAATAAAAAGGGCCTCCTCAACCTCATGAGCACGCTCCAAGTGATCAAGAATTGGAAGTCTCAGGTCTTGCTCATCGACCAGTTCTTGAACATCGACCTCCTCGAACAAATCGATCTCCTCTTGAACAATCGCAAACAAGTGTCCATCGATTCCCTTCCCTTCTTTCCCCAGAGAAATAGGACTGCCCTTCACTGATCTTGTTCTGTTTTTTTTTTGTTCGTACTTAGGTTGGGGAAGGCGGATGTGGATCATAAAGGCTCAGATAACGAGCTCGAGGCGTTCTCAAAGAAGGAGATCCTAGATCGAATCGATGATGATAGAGAACGAGTTGAGTCTCCCGCCCGTCTGGCCCATTTTTCTTTTTTTCCTCCACGAACTGAATGAAGAGACGACATGATGAGCAGCACAAGCGGCTTCGCGAGCGAATCTGGGTCCTCCCGATCCCCTTGATTGCGACTCTGTCGCCGAAGCCGACGCCGAATGCGCATCATCCGGCGACGACCTACACCTACCATCGCTCGGCGACGCTCCTTCACACCTCGTTGTTGTCGGCCGGCACAGGCGCCGATCGACGGTCGGCCCGCACATCAAATCCGACCTCACTATCTCCCTCGAATGCGACCAGTTAATTCAGGCTAATCTCGAAGATACCGGGCCCGATGGGCTCGAAGATCTCAATCGGATCGCTATCATACATATGTATGTAGCTCCAACGAGGAGCCATCTCTTGGCTCGCATTGACGATCGGATTGGGGTCTGGAGACTGGAGCTGTCCAAAAAATGCAAGTTTTGCGGAGACGGCTTGTTGTACCCCTTGTTGGGAGGAATCCCTCCCGACGAGAGGGTGTACAACCCATCTCGTTGGGAGGAATCCCTCCCGACGAGAGGGTGTACAACCCATCTCGTTGGGAGGTCTCCCTCCCGACGAGAGGGTTTACAACCCATCTCGTTGGGAGGAATCCCTCCCAACGAGATGGGCTTAAGACCAGCTCATCGGGAGGGTTTCCTCCCGATGAGCTGGACTATGGGCCGTCAGGGTTCAAACGAAGCGAATCCCTGTAGGACCCAGGCCTGGGTCCTACAGGGATCTTCAAGGCCATCGGCCAAGGTTTGAACCTTGGCCGATGGCCGTCAGGGTTCAAACCTTGAACCCATGTCGGTTCAAGGTTTGAACCGGTCAGACCGTCTCTCCATAGGACCCATCACTGGGTCCTATGGGATATGCCTCGACCTAAACCCATATGAATATGGGTTTAGGTCGAGGCATATGGAATCGCTGGCTGCACGCCTGCCTGCAAGCGAGGCAACCTCGCTTAACGGCTGGCGTGCAGCATCGCACACCAATCAAAATTGGTGTGCGGACCCGCACGCCAACCTGCTGGGGGAATGCCCGCGCAGAGGGTTGGAGTGCGGACCCACACTCCAATTTCAATTGGAGTGCGGTCCCACACTCCCTTCAGAGAAGGGAGTGTTGGAGTGTGTGTGCAAAGGGGGGTGGAGTGTGATTATCACTCCCCGTATGTGCAACACTTTCTGAAGTGTTTTCTCAAGTGTTTTGTGCTTTTATTCTGACATGAGATATAATATGAGCTCACAAATTCTAAGTTCCAACTATATATTCATACTGACCAGGAACCAGCAAAGGCACTGAAACCATGTCATTTCTTTTTTGCAAGATCAACTCTGTGTCACATATAGGGTTATCAAAGTTGTCAAAGTTGAAACATACCAACATACATATGAGACTACATACAACACATACACTGTTTCTCTGCGGGTTTGTACGAGCCGTATGTTGGCCCAATTTCAACTGTGATAACCCCAATAATTTTTTGGCTATTACTTTTTCCGTGGCTTAACCAGCTTGTGACAAAAGGACTCAGAGAGAGTCCGACTTCCATGATCTGAGGACACAAGAGCCCCCTCTTTTTTTCAAGTAAAAAAATGACGAGAATGAATATTAAAACAAATTTGTTGAAAGCATAAAGAGGCGCAGTGAAAAGATCAAGGGAGAGAGACAAGAAGAAGGAAGGGGAAAGAAAGAAAAAACAGTTTATCACGCCAGAACAAACGGTGCGGATTGGAAGAAGCGTCTGATATCATTATCATGTTTATTGGAGGTGGTCTCCAGAGGGTCACATTTTATGGTTATAAGTCGGTATCAGGGGTGAGCAGGTTTGAACACATGTACGGGATGGGTGAATGGGATTAAGTATGTCTAAGATAAGTACCAGCAACGATTGCATGATCTCGCTCGTAAGGTTCTAATGTAAGCTGTTCGTGAGGCTTGATCATCTCGTTCTGCATCTTCTTAATCTCACTGGCAAACACCGCCTCGGCGGGAGCAGTCGAGTCGATACAATTGGCCTTGATCGAAATCAGGATGTTTCCGCCGTGTTTCAGGAAGTGATGGGCGTTCAGACAGATGATTCGGGCTTGGTCGGGTTGGGCCACATCTGCAAAGATCACGTCGACCATCCCCACAAGCATTCGGTATTTGTTGGGGTGTCTGGCATCTTCCACGATTGCTAGAAAGGTTTTTACAAATCGACAAGTCAGAAAAACAATCAGAAGGTGGTAGCAGGACGGGCAAGATGTGGTAGAGGATGGGTAACACACGGATAACGTTTGTCCTCTTCTTGGCCATGTTGATCAAATCACGTCCACTTCGGTGAGAGAATTCGACGGCATAAACCGTTCCGGTTGGTCCGACAACATCGGCAACATGACTGACACTCGTCCCACTGGCCGCACCAAGGTATAAGACTTTCTTTCCAGGTGCAATGTAGATGTCGTCCAAGCCTCCGAGGATACCGGCGGCCAATTTGGATCGGAAAGGATTCCAGACTCGGTATTCGATCTTCTCGGCCGGCATGTCTGGAGAACTTGAGGGAGTTTCAACCGTTATTCGCTTCTCTCCATAGACCGAATCTCCGGGAACCAAGTTTCGGGTGACCAGTAGATGTTCTTTACCCTTTGAAAGTGAGGGGTAATGGGAGGTAAAACGACGCAACAATTAGCTTATACGGCGGGGTATAATGAAAAAAGTTATTCTGGAGACGCACCTTGGCAATGAAGACACCATCGTGACGATGTTTTTCAATAATGACTTTTGGGGCTCCACCTTTGCTTCCCAATCCACCTCTTCCTCGACCACCGCCAGGGGCACCTCGGCCTCTTGGAGCTCCACGACCACCGCGTCCACCAGGTGCACCTCTACCGCCTCGACTGGGGATCCCGCCTCCTCGACCACCTCCTCGACCGCCTCCTCGGCCGCCTCTGTCCGAAAACCCACCTCGGCCTCGACCACCTCCACCTCCTCCGCCTCCACGTCCGCCGCCGCCTCTAAAACCCCCTCGGCCTCGACCTCCGTCGCCAAATCCCATGTCAGAAAAAGTGTGTTTGTGTGTGAGAGTTGGGCTGTCCTTAAGACAAGGGCAATGAGGACAAGTTAGATTGTATTTGGTGGGTGAATGCTATGTATGTTGAGGCAATCCGAATTGTACTTGAAGTGCGCGATGTTGCTTCAGATTGAATATCCAGCGGAGTCCGAGCAGGAGGAGAGGAATACGAAAAAAAGGGACACAGCCAGTGAGAGCCGGCACACTTGTGGTTTCCCGAGTTGGAAGAACCCGGTAGAAGCATACTCCGGACGGTCAGACCTCTGGGTTTGGACCGATATGCTTATATGCAGCGCCCGCTCCGGCCCAAGAGAGTTGTTCAGGGTTATGTACGCGCGCTCCGCGATGGATCGCTCTTGATCTGCCCGCTCAGAACAACGTGCAGTGTGGACGTACCCGAATCATAAACTAAAGTCGAAGCTACCTCTCCTTTCTTTCATGTGGCTTTGGTGAAGGGACTTCTGCTTTGCATGACATGGCAGTAAAGTTTGGTTGGGATTTTTGGGATATTTCAGCCCCCTCCCCTTTGTCATTTTGTTCCTCATCACTTACACGAATTTCAACCTGGCACAATCTTCCAAACTTATCTTACAAGTTTTTATGTATGGGGTTCATAATTCTGATTTTTGAGAGGTGACATCAACAAATGCCCAGGAAAATCAGCTACAAGACAACACCTCAGCTACACACACTAGTGGTTGTCAGGTTGAGTTGCTATCCCAAAAAGGTGACCAAAAGAAAGGCACTGATTGAAAGTTAAGTCTAAGCAACCAGGAGCAGTTCTAATTCAGGTCCAGAACCCCTAAATTTAATTGTGAACCCAGTTACTTTTTATTTATTTTCAAAATTTTGACAGTTTGGCCCCATTTGGCAGCATCATAAATTTGAGTGTAACATTGGATGATGAATTGAATAAAAGCTATACCACTCACGAGTCACAAATATGTAACAAAATTGTTATCAATTCAAGTTAAAATACTGCTTCCAATGTCATTATGAATAAATTTGAGATATTGGGCTATCTTGGGCAGCATAATACCAACATTATGCTTTTGAGCCAAAAAAGTGTAATATTGAGTTTATGGTACACAAGATGGCCTGACATATGAGTTTTTTTTGCAGTAATGATTAAACTTAAGCAATATTCAACCTTGTTTGAATAAAAAAGTTTTACACCATTTTGTTTGGTTAATGGGTACATCATTTTGCTTGGTTAATGTTTTATTTAATTAAGGATCCAATATCACACTTGAATTTATGACACTGCCAAACAGGGCCTTTGATTCTTAGGTTCTGAGATAATTCTCCTCCCTGAATTTTGCTTGAGCCAAGTGAATTTCTTGTGACTTTCTTGAACCAGAAACTACCATACATATAAAGTTGCTGATGTTTTTAGTGGACTAAGAAGGAATTATTCTGAGATGCTTGAGTGGTCTACTTACCAACTGAAAATTTGAGATGTAGGATTCATTCTTATCTTAAGTGTTTCTGTTGTTTCCTGAAGGAAAATCTAGCAAACACACCACGATCCCAATTTAAAGACCATCATACAATTGATCTTTGAACCTTCACAGCCAAATTTACAGTTTTAAAGACTCTTGCAGTGCAAGAGTCTTTAAAAATTCATGAAAGTTGTATGTTGCCAATGGAGCCCAGCATACACTCTGACTGGTAAGGACCATGTAACCAATTAAGGTGGAGGAGTAGAGTTTCACGAGCTGGTTGTTATGTGGAAGGGGATTGGGGAGGAAATAAATACATGTAAGGACTTGAGCACAAATTTTAGAGATGGCTGTGGATTTGAGACTAAAATAGTGACTGCAGTGGGTCATGTTTATTTAGTAAATTTCAACTATGGACCCAATTTACTACCTGTTGTACAGTTTCTCTTAACAGCTACCAGTAATGATCCTCTCATTGAACACCAGATGGTAAAAATCTCACCAATTTTTTTGTTTCAATCACAAAGCTTGAAGTTTTTCATCTCCACCTTGGGCCTTATAAACCTCAAATAGGTACCAAAGAGATGAGATAGCACCTGATCCAATCTTTTTCCACTGCTGGTGGCTCTATCAGCCTTGAAGGTTGATGAAAGCTGATTAGTTGGAGTTGTGATGTGTGTGAGGACATGTGAAAACTTCCTTCACACAGGATAGGTTCAATCAGCCAGGCCTCAAGTCTAAATACATACAGCTTGTTTGGGACTTTCAACCCTTGTCCCTATTATAGGGGCCACAGTGGCTGTGGTTTTGGGCCTCATGCCCACAGTTCCTTTATGTGGGATAGGGACAGTGGTGGAGATACTCTTTATAGAAAAGTTACAAACCACCTCTAGTGGAAGAAAGGCAAAAAATCTGTGTAATTTTTGGAGGGATAGATCTTGGCAAGGAACAGATTAAAAAAGATGATTTGTGGGTTAGATCTGCCCAATGATGAACACTCAATACAAGAGAATCTCCTTTTAGATTCTGTATGGATCGGAGTGATGCAAAGTAGTGCGACAATGATGATGAGTCAATGAGAAGAAGAATGTTTTCTTTTCTTTAGTTTCAATGTAATTGATTGGCTACAGACAAAAGAAAACAAAAATGAAGATTGAAATTATGCTGACTGTGACCTGATTAAATTAGATGATTTGCAGCATAGATCTGCCCAACAATGAAGACTTAATATAAGAGAATCTATGAGAGACAAGATTAATTGAGAACAAATAAGATTAATATGAGAATGTAATAGAGAAGAGAAAGAAAAGAGATATTGTTATTATTGGTAAGCACCTATTTTGAGATTGTGTATGGATTGGAGTGATGTAAAGCAGCAAAACAATGGTGATGAGTCAATGAGAAGAAGAACTAGAGAACAACATGAAGAGAAACATTAAAGATTAAAATGAAACTATTAGTTTTAGTCCTCTATTACCAATCATGAAATGAGATTTTTGAGTTGATTGACTTACTGTTTCTCTTTTCTTCAGTTTTAACGTAATTTATTGGCTAAAGAAAAGAAAAACAGCGCTGGGAATTGACAGCTTGGGTTTTGATGAGAGGGCAGTGTGTCCAAGGAGTGGTTTGTTGAATTCAATAAGATAATCAATAGTCTTACTGATTGAAGATGGTGAAGAAAATTCAATAAGATGGGGCAAAACAGGCAAGTGGGAACTATTGAACACTTGTTGCAATGGTGGGCCAGCATACACTAATCACAGCATAGCAAAAATGGGCTAACTTTCAGTTTAGTGTTAGTGCAATTTCCACAAGTCTGCGCTAAGGCTATGTGCACAGGGCCCAAACATGGCTTGAACTCAATTCTGGATAACTGTTCTGCCAATACACACACATGGCACAAGGAAGCACCTGCTACACTGTGTTAAAGTGCTTTTTAGCCTTTTTTGCTTCCAGAATAACTCTAGTGTAGAGGTGTGCTAACAACACACAAAAGATGACCACTTTTAGTACTACTGCAAAGTAGTGGACTTGACACAAGTAACTCCAAGGATGATGCGCAGTGACCTACAAAGGAGGGACTTGCATCCAAAGTGGTATGTCTAGCCCTACAAACTGAGAACTCCAGCCAAATGGAAAAAAGAGTGCTCCCCTCACCTATACTACCCAGTACTCCCCTGCTCCAGTATGATCCTCATCCTGAGGGTTCCACCATCAAAATTTTGTGCTTCTGACCTTATTGCTTCCCACTTCAAATGTTTGAATTCCCATAACGCCTGGAAAGAAATGCCCTGTAAAATCTACGATCTGGAAAATTCATGTGAGCCACTGAGCCATCCGACCTGATTATGGCCGGATATTCTATTGGACATATCTGGTCATAAAAACATAACTTGAATGAACATAATATCATTGTAGTACTTTGATTATCTCAGAATTTTCTATTTATGTACTGCCAGAGCCCATCCAAGCCAATTCAAAAATTTTGAATTGACAAACAGATAGTATGCATTCAGGGTGGTAGTTGGGCGGGCCAACCCAAGGCTGATCCAAGACCTGACAGGATTTGGGTTGGGTTTGGGCAGATTTAGAGGGAAAATCCAATGACCCAAACCCAACACGGAAAGGGACATAAGATCCATGGGTTGGGTTCAGGCAGGCTATTTGCTGGTTGGGCCGGCCCAGAAGCCCAGCTTGGACCCAAGTCGGCATACATATCCTATATGTACCAGTCCGGCTCGGACTTGTACACATCTCCCTAATCTCCATGTCCGAAATGGCCCACCCCAGCAAGGCAAAAAAAAGAATGTGAACCAAAGACAACCCCACTCCAGCTTCCTCTGAGTGTCAAACTCAAGAATCCAATTTGATGGCCATGCCCAAAAGCAATGCCATCAATACTCCTATTCCAACTCCTACTGCTTTGCAAAAGGACCCCACAAATGGGGGTACAGATTTGTCCAGAACTCAAGAAGGAATAGCTGAAGAAAAGAAGAAAAGAAAGACGACAAGCAATATATGGTTACATTTCAATAAAATAGTCCGTGGTGAGTGAATGTAGATAAAAATCAATTCAGTGGTCAAAAATCTAATCATTTTGCCACTCATAACAGGCAACAATGTAGACGCTGTGTGCAAGTAATGCAAACAGAAATTAGACGGTAAAAGTACAAATGGTACAAACCACCTCTGGTGCCACCTTCATCAATGCAGCTCGTTTGCTAGCAAGAGCAAGCAGCAGTTACTCACTGTTGCCAAATGTGATGCACCCACCAATTGGTTTTTTTTGTCAAGAACCCTCTCAAAAACTCTTGATCAAGATGATCATGGTGCAAGAGAAATCATTCAAATTAGTTTATCAGCCAGCATTTTGAGCTTTCATTGCTTCCTTGCAGCCACGGTTCCAAATCTTTGGTCACACAACCATGAAGACCAACATCATGAAGTTGTATCAAACAATGAAGAAAAATCTTTTCCTCAAAATTGCAAAATTTGATCGTGTGACATTAACAACTGACCTCTGGACATCATCTAACCAGACCCCATTCATGGTGGTATCTGCCCATTTCATCTCCAATGACTGGACTCTGAACAAGCACCTCATTTTGTTTAAACTGCTTCCGACCCCCCACACCGGCATTGCAATTTCAGATTATCTCATCTCAACTATTGTCGAATGGAAGATTATTGACAAGGTTGACTTTTTAACGGTTGAAAAAACGTCCTTGAATGATGTTGCAATATCTCGGGTTTTATCTGTTCTCATGGATTGCAGCAATTCA